TTCGGGCAAGAGCAATGATGATTCGGGCGCGGTGGCCTTGGGTTCTGGCAAGAACATTTACAACTGCATAGCGTGGAGTTTGGCGCTTACCACGGGGTTATTCTTCTTATAAACTCGGGCATGGAATATGATACCTAGGATCTTGCGTTTTGGCGTACTTGGAAGGATGGATATAATGACTACATAGTTCCTTTTGTCATGTCACCAAAAGAACTTTAATCAAACGATTATCATATCAGTCTTAGCGTGTGCATCGTGAGGCTCCGTATTCGCAATGTTCAACGGTGAGTAGTTTTTCAAGGCCAGCACCACGAAGGATTGGAGTTTTCGGCCCTCGGATTACCATCGCCTTCGACACTAAGCATAAGTACTTACTATCTATACAACTTAGAAAGACTGAGCAATGGCCCAACGTAAAGACAAGAATATAACTTGGGAAGCAGAACAAGTAAGCTTTGAAGAAGTATATACATGAATTCCCCTTGGACTGGTTAATCTTGAAGAGCGATCGATGCATGATTAAAACTGATCAATCATCATAGCCATCCAATCCAACAATCCAACAAACTCGGTGCTAGGTTTGGTTAGACCTAAAGTCTAACAAGAGCCAGACTTTTCGCCGGGGCCGTTGTACAGTTGGCATGGTGTCTTAGCATCAGTGCAGACGTTGACGAGAGTCGCTTCATCACCAGTCTCCTCGTTGATGCCCGCAACTTCACCGCCGCCATAAGCAGAGACTCCTTCAATGGTGACGGTACGCTTGCAAGCATCGCACTATACATTTGTAAGTCGACTGTGTCAGGTTGTGGAGAGATTTATCGTAAACTCACGGTGCCGCAGGCTCTGTAGACCTTTCCGTAGTCAGAGGCGTAAAAGTTTGAAATCTGTCATTCTCGTGAGCAACTGGCACATATGCATTCCACGCCTCGAGCGCCGTATACTTACGCTGACACTTCCGCAGCCGTTGTGTTGAACCACCTTATCTGCGGCCTTATAGGCACCGCCGCCAATGATGCGAGTCTCAGTGCCGGCCTCATCCTCCTTACTGAAGTCAAGATTAGCTTTGCAGACTCCTCGATGGAACTCGATGGGACAATACTTTGACTTACATTGAGATGGCGTCCTCGCAAACGTCCTCGAACCACACGTTCTCGATGGTGCAGCCGCCACCAATGCAGTAGACGCCCTCCATCTGATCCTTTCCGATGATGGCGTTCTTCAGAGTGGCACCCTTACGAAGGAGGAAGACAGTGTCCTTCTGACCACCTTCTGTCTGGGCCTTGCAAGCACCTGATCCTCTGTCGAAGCGGGCCATCTTGCCATCGTATGACTCGCCAGCGGCCACCTCGATAGGCTCAGTATTGCTGATTGTCTTGGTCGCGTTAGGGAGGGCGTCCTTGCCCACGCAGGCAGAGACTGTGGGAAAGGCGACTGCCAGAGCCGCGAGGAACTTGATTGCTTCGGTGCGCATAGTGACTGAGGTAAGAAGTTGGATTGTTGATAAAAGAGTGTGGATAATATAGGAGATGTTGCTGAAGGCTGGTGCTAGAATCTCTCCCAGACTATTCTCGAAGCAGACCTTCTGGTAGTTTTATACTCGACTTTGAGGTACCCAGTGGGATGGCCGAGAAGTAAATAACAATTATCTTTCCAAGTTATTTCTCACAGCAAGACAGACAGCTGAATTAAGGAGGTCTTGGCCTTTGAGGGGATCCCGCATGTCCTCCACAGCCCGCGCAGCATAGCAATCGGTAGGCCCACTGATTGGCTTACATGTTCTCGACGTGTCGAAGCAGACTGACGACTCTGTAGTGTGGTGTACTATGTAGTACCTATTGGTAGAATATGGAAACCTGTACAACATTCCTCACTCCCCAAACAACCTGAATGTAATTAATCTGGAAACCCGTTCATCAATACCTTAATCTAAAATGTCACATCACACGTGGAAAATCGAAGAGAGGCCCGTTTCGAAACGCGCCAAGATGCGGTTGCCGTACACAAGAACCGGACAAGATCACCACCGGTCGCCTGTCGGAGGGGTGGTCCCGGGGCCGGACATCGGGGAGGTGAGACGATCGTTACCCATCGTGCTGCCAAGACTCTGGGCACTGCCACGCTTGGCACGACTGCCCAGAACAACCAGAGCTTCAAATTGAGAAAGGAGTTTGCGGTGTTTGGACCGAGTCTTAGCTTACATTCGTGGTCTTCATTAAGGTCAATGCAACGTCAGCTTTCTTGTTAGAAACGCCAGGCCTCAATCCAAAATTTGCCCCTGTTAAACATCTAAGGATGGCAGTCGAGAGCCCAGACCACAACCCATCTAACAGATCGGGGCATCATAGGAGTAACAAAGCCTGTTGTGATGATATTCACGGCATATTTGAACCCTTGGCAGCCAACTCAATTGGCGCGTGAGTTCCGGGAAGGTTACAAGACATCCGTACACGTAGGGTTGTTATCAGACACATGCGCACATAGAGCGATACAGCTCGTAGTCTACATGACTTTCAGCAAACCATCTCTCACCACATATTTACTCATCGATCCCTAAGGGCTTCTGATACAGGTTACAACAGAGTGAATTGATTGAATGAGGCCAAGCATCCTCGCGGTTGAAACAAGGGGAGCATACGCGTTGACGCGCCAAATAAACGAGGATGTCTTGGCACAATCAAGAAAGTACGACATTGTTGAATTTGCGTACTAGCCGTATGACACCCTGAGCTCTGACCTGAGGCTCAAACATTTTCAATCATTCGTTCTTCCTCGTCGATTGTCGGTCTACTAATTAGAGTGAACATCATCGGAACATGACAATGCTGTTGCGAAAATATTCTCTGTAGGCTTGCTATTTAGCGAGTAAGAATTTGACTGAAGTCGGTCAAAGTATAACATTATTTAGGAACGGCGACCTGAGATCAATTGTTGAACTTCAGAACTAGGAGTCTGGCCATGAGATATGTCCGGACTCCGGAGACCCGAAGTCAAACGAATCGATCCTCGCGAGTGCCTTTCAGGCCCGCATAATCTTGGGAAAACGCAGTCACATGAGGAGTCAGAGAGACGGGATTATTTGAGGCGTGGATTGAAAGTATACGCATTGGTTCGAAAAATGGCTTCATCTTTAGGAGATGGGGGCCTCCCTTTCCCTTGGTTACATGTATGATACAAAGACATCATGCAGCCAGTATACGCCCCGTTATTGGTATCACGAGGTTTTAGCAACCATTCGTGGACATACGCACTCATGACGAAAGGTTCTTGCTCTCGTGATCGATCTGAACTGTTTCGACCGGAGACTTCATAGATTGGCGGTCGAGTAAAGGCTTCAAACCCGGAAGAGCCACAACGGTTATCGCAAGAGTCATTTCCAGGATGCTCAGAGGATCTGTGGAGCTCGTGTCAAACCACGATGTTGTGCATGGACACAGGTGTACTATACTTACAAACCAAATTCTCCTGACCAGTGCCAACTTTCAGGGTAATGAAGCGTACAATGGTTGTCATGATGGTTAAAGTACCAAGAGCGAAAGTAAGAGTCAGGCCAGTGGATCTGTCGAGGACACCTTGAATCAACAGAGTCAAAGGGAGAACATAGACTAGAGATATTGCTGTTAGTATGCATTTTTGAGGAGCCATTGAAGAGTCTGGCGATGAGCGTCAGAGCGTTAGAGGGCTGATCATACCGCAAAGGTAGCAGGCGAGGTTGAGGGTGAAGTTGAGGATGAAGGGCTCTGGGGCGTAAAAGACACTGCATGCGCCATCTTCCTGTGACCACTGCACCGAAACGTCCTTTCCACAGAAAAATGTGTCGTCCCAAAGTATAGCCATGTACGAAAGGCAGACGAAGGCAGTGATACCCCAAAGTGCCTTGCGCATTGCCGGGCTGGTAGTTGAGGGAAAGTATGCCCAGTAGAATGCCAGCATGCTCATTTTGGGGAAGCCCATTCCGACATCGTAGAAGTAGTTGGATGCGAAGGAGATCTTTTTGATAAAAGTTAGCAACGACAGGACAGTCTTTATGGCTGGAATGATACCTTGGAAAGAGCAACGGAAGACTCCCAGTGATCCATGACGCCGAGTTGGAAGGTCAGGGTGTCACATATGATTAGTGCGAGAGCGTTGATAGCAGAGAGGACGAGGAGAATGTCAGACCAGGCCAGCTTCTCTCGTAGCCTGAAGAGGCGAGCGTAAATCCGGAGACCGACGAATACATAGGAAGCTGCTAGTAGAATCCATTCGGATATCTGAATTCAAGTGTTAAAATGGTCTTACTAAGATTGTAGCACTGATAAGAATCAAAACTACGGGGACTTACCATGCAATCCTTTCCGTCTATGAAGTACGCCATTTCGTCGGATAGCTCAAGTAACAGGTAATCACAATGAATCGGGAGAAGCAGGCTCTGGTGTCAATATGTTGTACGATCTGGAGTGAGACATCGACATTAATAAAGGCCCTACGGGAGCGATACGTCCGCCCATGCTACAAGCCAGGGTAGTCTCCAAGAGAGCCACAGGTAAAGGATCGGCTGTCTATTGGTCCGGATATGAACCGAATTGCTCCAACCGTGGGATCACCAAGATCTCAGTCATAAAGGCCACAACATTTCGTGTGGGTTCAATTGCATCTCTGACGGTCTGATGGTTGGAAGCAGCAAGGCTACAGCATCGACAAGGGGGTTGAAGCGAGGTTGCAAATTCTGCAGATTTTGATGCGTAAAACAGCCCAGGACCCTTTATTTTTTCTTCTTTCTCGGTCTATAGTCTCCGCTGGTCAGGTCTCTTTCGGTTCGTGTCCCCGGGTTCTTCTGTGTGGTATTACAATTTATTCGTGCGTCTACGCCGCAAATGCGCAGAAATGTGGTTGAATCCTATCAAAGATGATTGGCTCCTCGGTCGTCCTCCGTCAAGCCCGGACCCGCCAGTTGGTTATTCACAAAAAGGGCCCATCTAAATCCTTTCTCTAACCCCGTGCTTGCTTCTGCCCGGTCTCTACTACCCGAACGCCGGACGACTCGAACCCTTGTCAACGTCCTCACGGCGTTGATATGTCACGCTAACTCGAGCGGATTTGTAGATCCTATTCGATCCCTCGAGATTGTTCAGCTCCACCTCGCTCCCTGACTCCTCCTCAGGAACTGCTCTCGCTGTTGCCACATACGGCTCCCTTCCCGAGGACAGCTTGATGTGACTGCGACTGAAATTCGTTGGTTGTTTGTCAAATGCCCGCCCTGCTGACCCAGTCTGCCCGGTCCCATACTTTGAGGTAGCCAACCCTCGGCGATGAAGAAGTGACTTCAAGGCAGGGAGAGACACGACAATGATTGCAGCGGTGATTTCGGTCATTGAGAGCACATCTGGAACCCGTTGAGAATTATGCCATGATCTAGATGCTGCATATCATAGTTGGGGAACTTACAGACGTTCGTCCATGCGTTGATGGCTTCCACAGTAGCGAATCTTCCAACGCTGGCCCCTATTGTAATGATGCCCGTCGAAAAAGTGGCGGCGAGTCCAATGATGTATCTGCCGCTGATTTGTAGACCAAAGAGTAGCGGGAATGGAATGGTGAAAACTATTTCCTAGTCAGTCGGCAAGCTTTGATAGCGCAGATGAGACACCTAGCGTACTCAACACATCTGACACAAAGTTCATGGCCCAATCGATGCGAAAAACATCTTTCGAGTCATAAGTACTGCAGTTTCCCTCTATATCCCAGTTGACAGAGACGTCAGGACCACACCAGAATGTATCCAGAAAGAAAGTCGTCACTGCGAAAGAAATCGTCAGGGCGCTCACGCCGTAGAGCGCCTTCCGAAGAATCGGCATTGTCGGCGGAATCAGCTTGAAGTAGAAGGCAAGCAACGCAATTTTTGGGAAGTATATTCCAGTGTCGTAAAAGTAGTTTCCGGCAAAGGTGACTTTCATCAACAAGATCTGCTCGTCAATGGGAGCCTCGGGAGCGTCGGTATCGTATTCGTCCATTCCACCGAGATTGTACGCTATAGTATCGGTCGCGAACAGGGCGGAAGCATCAAGCAATGAAACTATAAGAATCCAATCGCTGATAGTCAGCTTCTGATGCTGTCGCACCAGACGAAGCCATAAGCGTGCGGAGACGAGAACAATGGCCAGTCCTAGGAGAACGGCCTCGATGGGCTAGATAATTTCACTTTAGTGTGATTGACTGAGAATGCCAGCGGTGCTTGACTACCTGTGTTTTAAGTCAAACCCCCCACTTCCCGGCACCCCCCTGTTTCTGGCACCCACAAAAACGCGAAAATCCACCACAACGCAATGCCCACCCCCAACCTCCTTTTATCACAACATTTTCAATTCGAGTCCAAATGGGCTCATTTTTTGCACATACCTTCTTCTATATCTAATGCCTCAATATACCGAAGATCAGCTTCGTCAGGCTCTCGAGGACATCTCAAACGGCAAGAGTCAAAAGAGAGCCTCATTGGAGTATGGGATACCACGATCAACCCTCCAACTACGTCTCCAAGGTGGTCAGACTAGGAAAGTGGCTTTTGCTGACTGGCAGAGGCTGTCTCCTGACCAGGAGAGTAAGCTGGCACAATGGGTTCGCATTCAGGCTTCGCTGGGCCTCGCACCAACGCACCAACAGGTGAAGGAATTCGCAGAGCGAGTTCTGGCTGCTGCTGGGGATACCAAACCATTAGGAAAAGGCTGGATCTATGCCTTCGTGAGAAGGAACCCTATCATTAAGGTTCAGAGAAGTCGTTCCATCGATTCTAGACGCGTTAATGGGGCATCTACTGAGGTCATTAGGAACTGGTTTAAGTTCCTTGCTATCCCTGAGATCAAGGACATCAAACCAGCCAACAGATATAATATGGATGAGACTGGCATCCTCGAGGGTCAGGGAGCTAATGGGTTAGTGCTGGGCATGGCTGAGACGACGTCTGTTCGCAAGAAACAACCTGGGTCGAGGGCATGGGTCTCTATCATTGAGTGTATCTCAGCCTTGGGTAGGGCACTTCGTCCTCTTATCATTTTCAAGGGGAAGACGGTCCAACAACAGTGGTTTCCATTACATCTGGTTCCATACGATGGGTGGGAGTTTACAGCAACAGATAATGGCTGGACTACAGACTTAACTGCCATTGAATGGTTAGAGAAGGTGTTTATCCCACAGACTATGCCCGAGGCTGAGGGCGAGGCTCGACTGTTGATTGTGGATGGGCATGGGAGTCATACGACGACAGACTTCATGTGGAATTGCTATATTAACAATATCCATTTACTGTTCTTACCACCACACTCCTCTCATGTCCTCCAGCCACTTGACCAGTCTGTCTTCAGCCCTGTTAAGTCAGCCTATCGGAAGGAGCCGGTTACTTGTCTCAATGGAACGACTCTACCATTAAAAGGAACTTCCTGGACTGTTACCAGAAGGCCTGACTTGCTGGTCTATCAGTCTCGAACATCAGAAGTGGTTGGAAGTGGACTGGTCTACACCCTGTAGCGATGGTTAAGCCCTGATGAACCCTATGGTATTACCTGAGCCTTCTGCTGCCCACCACACCCAAACCAACCAGTCGGGGCAAAAGCGATGCCATAATGGTCAACAAACTACCCCTGTTGAGCCATGGGATTCTGCTTCCTCTGCAGTGGTCTGGTCGACACCCAGGAAGCTGGCAGAGCTCAGCGGTCAACTGCACTTATACACCCAACTCGACAATGATACCAGCACTCAACGGCTGCTGTTCAGGAAGGTGAAAAAAGGCTTCACAGAGCAGGCCTGGCAACTGGCAGCTGCCCAGCAGCAGCTGGCTCACCTGAGGGCTCAAGTTACCAACGCTGCAGTTAGGAAGAGGAAGACTGTTCAGATCGATCCCAACACGAAGTTTGCGAACATCAGGGATATCCATCGGGCTCAAATCGAAGCGGGTGAAAAGGAGGTTATTACGGCTGAATCCAGCGACTCTGAATGCCCTAGTGAGGCTGGCAGTTGTATTGTAGTGGGTGTGGTTGAGGATCAATAGTTAATAGTAATGAGGAGGTTGGGTTGTGATCCCATCGTTTTTGTGGGTGCCAGAAACAGGGGGGTGCCAGGAAGTGGGGGGTTTGACTTAATAGAAAAACGGAAGCTTTACTCACCACAACGGCCTCCTTTGCTACACCTGCCATGATAAGTAGGTTATCTGAGGAGCGATGAAATGGAATTCGTCTTCGCTTTCTGATGTGTGCGAAGAGCAAACAATCTTGCGTAATTTGGGGAAGACTTTGAGCACATGGAAGCGGGATGTTGAGAATTGGATCAATCAGTGGATGGATATTAACGTTGTTATGGATCACCAGGAACTCCGAGCCTTGAAGAAACCCGCGCCCATGGATTCTTTAGCCAGGATGACGGTTAGCCAGAAATTTCACAGACGCAGCATTTGCACTGAGAAAAGAAAGGATCTAGGTATGCGGTGGGATTCTGCCACACAAATCAAAACTGCTGACGACGCAAGGGGGCGGCGCCCCGTCGTTCCACTACTCTGATGATGCATTGCATTACTGGCCTGCTGAGCTTCCTCTCGATGAAGTAGTGTGGGAGCGTGGAGAACTAAAAGTTGAGATCTTCGAGCCTCAGAGCCCGGGATGACTATTCAAACCGAGCCGTCTACAAGATGAGATCACGCTATACCCTATCTCTCGTGACAAAGGTAGTCCAGCATAGCTTACTGGCGTCGAGACAAGGTCGAGAAATGCGCGATGCTGGGGAAGATTCACGGGCACCTCCCCCTTGCCATCTTACATAGCATTAACTAATCGATTCTTTGCAGGCGAACACCTTGTCTTGTCGGGATCTAAACCTTGTTTCCGCACAGATGCAGCCGATTCGGCAAAGGATCCGGGTCTCTGTTGGAAGTGCTGTGTTGGACGCTGGGGACTGGAGCCTGCAGGTGCGATGTGGAACAGCAGCTCATCCACCCTGAGTAAACCCACCCAAATCCTAAAGAGCGAAGGAACCGAAATCTTACGTTTCTTGTTACTTTCACCTCGCTAAGCCTGTTGCTTTGAAGTCGTTGGACTTCACGATTAGCTCTTTACCTTTTAAGGTGAGCAGAGCGACTGGTCAATATCTCTGCCAAAGTTCCACTGTATCCACTCATTGTGTGACTCAAGTAGCATGCATCTTGCTGACTGCGGCGTCTTCGAGGACAACTTACTTCCCGCGTTTCCGTTAACCCGAGCCATCGGTCAGGTCTTCGACCGTTCAATCTTAAAAGTGGACTGCAAATCTACCCACTTACAACAGCACAGAAATGAACTCCCTCTGGAACCCGAGAACTGGCTGCAAGAAGAAGTCCAGCGATCATTGCAGCAAGGTGACACATTCGATGAACAGCGAACTTGAGGCAGATGCGGCTTGATAGAATTTTTGAAACCAGTAGCACTAGATCAAGCAATCTGGTTTCTACATGGTCTAGAATGCATCTATTTGACTCACTTGTTCCTATCATCCTATCTAAGCCATGTTCAACTTAAAGGGAAGGGGTAGCGACACGCTCGTACGTCTCTTCCGCATACTTTTCCGCGTCAAACTCGAGTATCCAGTCTTCTCTTGGCAAAGCAATTGTTGTTGGATCCTTTTTCACTTTTTCCCAGTCTGTCTTGTGCCACATCTCACGAGTGGAGATTCCAGTCTTCTGCACCGCCCTCACACGATCGTATCTATGTTGAGTATTAGAATTCCGGGTCAACAATTTCTGAGGGGCGAAGGATTCTATCTTACCGGATTCCTTGGTAAGAATTGAGCGCTTTACGAATGTTTTGCTTGCCCGCACGTTTCAGGCATACTGCTATAGTAACGCCGTCTTCCATGGCTTGAGTCGCGCCTTGAGTACTTGTTGGCAAGAATGGATGAACGGCGTCTCCTAGTAAGGCAATTCGTCCGCCTCCGCTGACCCAATTAGGAAGTGCATCGCGATACATGAGCTTCCAATCCACTAGTGACGGAGTTTTCTCGACGATTACTTGGCACATGGGGTCCCAGCCCTCGAGTGCGCGGCAAACATCCTCGATCTTACCGGGAAACGACCATGATTCATCGATGTCGTATTCGTCTTTGTGTGTTAATACCCAAGAGCAGTCTCGACCTCCCTTCAGAGTAGAGAACAGGAAATGGGCGTCTGGGCCTATCCAGCCATTGAAGGTATCGCCATTCTCACAGAACTGTTTGGTCCGAGGGTCTGCCAGTAAGGCGTCGGCGGAGAACCTACGACCTCTCAGAATCAGAGATGCCCTCAAACCCCGGCAAATAAAACACCAAGCTTACCATGCCCTCCATATTGCATATCCGCTGCTTTGTGGCTTGTCTTTGTGGCCAAGAACTAGTTCCCTCGCTTTGGATCGGACCCCGTCCGCGGCAATGACGACGTCAGCTGAGACCTGGAGAAGTACACATATCAATACGATGTCGCGATGCTACCGCATCAATATTTGATGAAACGGAGATATTGCTCACCTTTCTCCCGTCCTGAAACTGGATACCTGCAGCATCTTGGTCCTCGAAGTAGTCAGTGACCGGTTGGCCAAGGTGTATTGGAATCGCTAGTTCATCCTTCGCATAATTGTAGATGACCTCGTGCAGTTCTCCTCTGTGGCCATTGAGGACAGGTGCTTCGGGATCTGCAGGTGGTCTTCTCTGAGTGAGAACAATTTCCCCAGTGTCCCACTTGTGAATCCGGAAGCCGTATTCTTGTAGATCGATGCAAAGCGGTTTCAACTTGGACACGACGGCTCCATTGGACCATCGGTGAAAGATGCGGCCAGCATTCGCACCAAAGGATATGATGTCCCCCAATTGTTTTAGCTCAGGGAATGATTCATAAACCTCAACGTCGTGACCTTGTCGATGGCACTCAATTGCAGTTGTCAGTCCTCCGAAGCCGGCGCCAACAACAATGACTTTGACTCCTGTCTTCGTTTCTGGCGTTGCCATGATGGTTCCCAGTCCAATCAGCGTAGTCGGTTTTTGTGGTGTTAGCTTGGAAAGCCTTCGAAAAAAGAAACAATTGGACAATGTCAAGAAGAAACGGAAATTTGCAGAAGAAGAAAAACACAGGACTCAACATCTGCCGAAGGATACAGTTTGTCCTGACACATCTGCCGTGGGGTTGCCATTCTCAGGTATCAGATACCCCACGTCTTCGAGGTATTTACTACCCCACATCCGCCAGGTGCAGCGGCAACGGTTATAATCTCCCGGCCGATCATTGGGACATTGCGCAGACTTCAAGCCTCTTGAGAACAATCCCAGTCGTTTCGATTCAACCAGGCTTTTCCTCTTTGAATTACGAACTGCTCCCCATTCGCTGCACCAAGAATTTGACAGCTCCAAATTCAAGCTAGTGTTTGCCCTCCCCACATGCGTACAACCTCATGTCATCTTCTCATAATCACCCGAGCCAAGTTCGCTTTCAGAACTGCCGATCTCAGAAGTTCGGGACGAGCCCATCAGTACGAAGCCTATAGAAACTCTGAGTAGCCCCTCTTTCAGACTTTGGAATAAAAGATGCAACATTCAAAGTAGCGGTCGTCTCCTACTGAAGCTGAGCCAAGCGAAACATGACCAAAATGGCTGCCGATGGTTTGCAGGCTCACTTTTGGTGCTTTATGGCGTGCGGTATGATCGCATTGTCTCCATTCCAGTACGGGCTAGACTTTGGAATCATTGGCGGTCTACAGGCGATGCCTGGCTTTCTCGAGGTTGGCTTCTTTCTCCAAATTTCTCATCATCCGACAACCTCCTTCAATACATCATTTGTCTTGAATAAATGATATTGGAACTGACCTGTTGCTTCAAGGTCTACGGCTACGAAGACCGAAACACGGCCATTGGTTGGAATATCTCCACCACCCGACAACAGCTCATATCTTCTTTGATGACACTTGGAGCATTCCTTAGCTCGGTGCTTGCCGGTGTAATCGCAACAAAATTGGGAAGGAAGATGTGCCTGTGGCTCTCTTCCCTTCTATGCATTGTAGCCAATATCCTCATGATGACCACATCTCACATCGGTCCACTCTACTTCGGTCGCTTGCTCATCGGGCTAGGCAATGGAGGTTTCATGACCTTCTCTCAACTTTACTTACAAGAGAGCAGTCCAGCAAAATACCGCGGGCTATTTCTTACCATCTTCCAGTTCTGTGTAACGATTGTGGGTATCCTACTGCTGGAACCCATGCGATTTAGAAGGCCTGGAGTGGCTAACGTTACAGCAGGGCACTCTCCTCGGCACCATCATTGACTGGGCAACTGCTCAGCGCCCTGATAGATCAGCTTACTTGATCCCTTTGGCTACGATTTACGTGATACCGGCTCTCTTAGCCATCGGTCTTTTCTTTATACCCGAGTCACCGCGCTGGCTGATTCTAGAGGGCCGTGTAGATGAGGGTCGCAAAGCTCTTGAGTGGCTAAGACCCACTGATGCAAGCATTGATGATGAAGTTGAAGAAATTCAAACATCCATCCAAGAACATATCGAGTTGACAAAGACCGTCACCTTTTGGGACATGTTCAAGGATCGAATAGACCGAAGACGCTCCATGATCTCTATCGGCGCCGTATCTCTGCAGGCCGCATCGGGATCCATGTTCATCATTGGTAAGTTCCGGCTCCATTTCACGTCAATTTCATGAACTCATTCAAGTTATACAGCATATAAAGCATACTTCTTCTCTGTTGCCCAAGTCGAACACCCCTTCGCTATGACAAATGTTCTGTCTACGGCTGGTCTTTTGGCAATTCTTGCAAACGCTTTCATCGTAGTTCGCTATGGCCGTCGCCGAATTATGCTCATCAACGGTCTTGTCATTTGTGGCTGCTTGCAACTCATCATGGCTGTGACATACGACAAACAACCACATACGATTAATGCGGGCAAGGTTCTTGTCGCAATGTCTTGCATTTTCATGGTTGCTTTCAACGTAGGTTTTGGATAATCATAGTGCATACTTATCTTTTCGCTTCAAGTGACTGACAGCCCTCCAGGGAATGGTAGCACCTTACTCCTGGATGGTTGCCGGAGAAGCCCCATCACAAAGACTTCGCAGCTATACATTTGGGGTTGCTTCGGCATGTGGGTACCTGCTGGCCTGGCTTGTAACCTTTACTACGCCTTACTTCATTAACCCTAGTGCCCTGAATTGGGGCCCGAGGTACGGCTACATTTGGTTTCCATCTTGCATCATTGCAGCTCTGTGGGCCTTCTTCTTCCTTCCCGAGTTCAAGGGACGGACTCTCGAAGAAATCAATGCCATGGTGAGAACTAAGCTCTCATCCGGGACACTTGGTATACTTCAATCATCTGACTGACAGCTTCAGTTTATCGAGCAACTGTCGGCAAGGAAGTTCCGGCACTACGAATCTCCAGGAATCAGTCAGCCCAAGACTGTTGACACTTTGAAAGGTGATTTTGATGTCGCTCAAATCGAAATGGCCGATCGTTCTTGAAGTTTTCACAACCACTGGTGCTTTCAGGTAGTTCATCAAACTCTATGTCTAGAACCTCTCATGTACGAATTTCCTTAAGGTACAGCACACGTGAGATAAACACATTCTGTGGTAGACATAGTTCAGTGTTTTGGCATGCTATGCCCCAGGAGATAACTATTGTGATGCCAAGATTTCCATAATTACATGTAGGAAAGACCATACAAGCCAATTAGAATCTTTAACAGCGATGAGTCACGCTTAATCTAGATTCAAGACAGAATGCGAATGACTGCTCTCGTGACTCTTTTGACAACTGACTTCCACCACCCTTTTCGTCCCGTAGCGTGGCTCTGGACCCTCGAAACCTCCCCATTACCAGAGGCATAATCCATTTCCAAGTCATGCCTCATTTGACTTCCTCCTTGAAGTTCCTCCAGGTGCAGTTTCCTCCTGACATTGTAAGCTCGTATGTACCCAGAGAGACTTGTGCGGATGCAATCAATGTCCGTGCTTGACAGCCCTTCATCTTCCACACATTCGTCAAGCATCCGTCGGTGAATGAGAACAAGACTCCGGGCTTCAGTCAGAATGAGGCATGCCGAACATTTCGGGAATAAGTACTGTTGGTCAAGATCGGATGTTGCTGTTGTTGAACACAATACATGATCTGGCCCGCGAGAGAAGCAGGTGCCATTGGCGTGCTCATATTTAGCCACGTAGAGGATCCTGGCGCAGGATTTCTCGCCAGTGACCAAGCAGGGCTCGCCTATGTGACAAGCTCGGTGTTTAGGGTCGCAAGCATCCCACAGCCCGCTTCTTTCATAGGCTGCGAACAAGCTTGCCTTCGGACAGGATCGCTCCTCAGCCCGGGCGCACAATCTTCCCACAACACAGCTATCATGAAGGCTTATGTCACGGAGCTCGATATTCCAGTCGATTATGTGGTGTTCGCGACAGAAAGTGTTGGTGGCGTGCTGGGGTTGCAATGTTGCGGACATGTTTCTGTCTCTTCGTGTCAGCTACTTGAACATAGCGCACGTGAGACTCGCGAAAGAAGTGCGATAAATGCTGGAAACACAGGAAGACGAGTGTAATAGGACCGCAGATTACCTTACTTGTTTCGACGAGTTGAGTGGCTTGTCCAGAGAAATCGGCTGAGAAAGCGGACGGTTGTGTGATACAATAAGACGAGAGATGGTGGAAGAAAGTGAGAGGTGAAGAGACGAGACTATGTTATCCTGAGCGAGAAGTCGATTAATTGATCACAGTGTACCAGTGGGGATTTTATATCCCAAATAGACGCCAAGAAGTTGTCTCTTTTCTCCTTTGAGGCGCCGAGGTCTGCCTTGCCGGGTATCTGCCTGGCCCCAGCTGCCCGGCCATGCATTGTCTCTGCCTTCTGGTATCGGGCCGTTCGCTGCTGAGAAAAGACACTGTCTTGGACCTTGCAAAATCCGCCCTGTAGACCTCACAGACACATTGCTCGTTCTTGGCGATGACTTGAGATTTCTTTGAAGCGAGACAGAACTGTAATGCGCCAGTCCAACTTCCAATTTTTGTGAGATCCATCATTTCTAGGACCTTACGTGTTGGTTACAATCTTTCATCGCATAGAACTGCGAAAGGTCAAGTCCAGTTGACGTTTTGAGGTGTTTCCACTGTCATGTTGTGGCACAGAGTTAGGTCTCAAGAAGGATGCAAACGAGGATTGTGGGAAATAGGCAAAGGCATCCCTTGTGCAAGGCGTCCAGTAGAAGTCGGTCTAATGTCTGCGTGGCTGTCACTGATTTCGGTGTAGCACGAAAGTGTCTCAGGACGTTCTCGGGCTACGGTGTTTGGATCTGTACGCCTATTAGGGGCGGCACAGCACATCACACGCCCGAAAAGGGCGCTTTGGTTGATGGGGGTTCGCCCCTGTCCCTAATGATGTTAAATGCTACTACGGTGTTTGTTTCATTGGCCGAAGCCACGCTCAACTACCTGCATTGAAGTGCACTTGAAAATCCCTGTAATTTCATTCCTCGTCTTGGGCCACCGCTTCAGGGCAGTTTCTATCCCGTTCACAACAGAATCTCGTTCTCTGCATTTCGATTCCATTTGAAAATCTTCGACCAAGATCCGGATAAATCATCTCCTTGGCTCTCTCAAAATGTTCATGGTACCTAGACTAGCCTTCGCCGATGGCTTCTAGGCGCTGTCAGATTAGCCAAATTTGGCCATTTTATTGGTAGCGCTATCTCGCCTCTAAAACGGTCCACCTTACAGAAGACAAAGTGACTCTAGTATTCACCCGTTCAATCGTCTAGGTGTCCTTCCTGTCTTACTTGCGGTTGCCCTGGATGATGTGATATCTACGAGTCGATGTCTCCAGCTAGGGCAGCAAATGTCTTGGCCACTGTCTTGCCTAATTCCCGAGTCCCGAGCGTCGGGATTTGGCATGATCTAAGCTCAACAGAACAACGTGGTTTACACATTTGATTCTAGCTTCATTATTATCATACTTGCCACTGACAAAAATGTGATCGACAGTGGTGTCTCAACTGAAGCCTACAACCACCCCATAGATATATCAAATGAGCAGAAATATGACTGGCGCATTTCAAAGATTGACTATGTCGGAAAAGGAATTCATTCATTTACCAATTTTCATGATTCCAATTCCATGTGGTATGTAGGCTAGGGTAATATGATAAGATCAGTCGGCAGTTGTTGATGTCGTCGACCATAGTACACGTCTGCGGCCGAGGCCCATCCACGGTCCGATAGCGGAGACACGGCGAATCGATGTGCACCCGATTACTATCGCGGTTGGCTCCGGTCAAGGCTGCCGCTTTGTCAACCCCGCCATCCTTCAGTCGCCTGACAACCTTCCTCAGTAATAGATCGGTGTGTTCTTCATCTGCCGCTGTTCCTGAGAAGTCAAGTCGAGAGTTTTTCAACAGCAAACCGAGCGAATTGCGGATGCATCTTACAGACTAAGCGCGAGCAAAAAGAGAATCAGCTCTCTGCACGAATTTTGAGTTGCAGCATTGCTCTTCTCATCCCCGGACTGGAGTACCCGAAGATCATCACCAATCCATACCCTTTATTATGGCTGATCTTCAGGATCTGGACAGGCACTTAGCCTCACTACAGGCAAGCCCTGCAACACTGGCTGTTCTCAAGGACCTTCATACCCAGGCTCTCAATGAGCCCCCGTATGTGAGCACAGATAGTCAACCTGCTTCAGTGGCGCTGGAAAGATTCGTGGCCCTGGAGCCGGATAAGTGCGCTCTGGTATACCTCCTCCTGCGCGCTACAGGGGCAAGACATGTCGTCGAGGCCGGGACCTCTTTTGGCGTCAGCACTATCTGGCTTGCCCTCGCCGTAGGACAAAATGCAACGGCACAAGCTGCCAATGGCAAAGTGATCGCTACAGAGAACGAGCCTGTCAAAGCCGAGAAAGCTCGAGAGCACTGGAGCAGGGCGGGGCCTGAGGTTGAATCTTGGATCGAACTTAGAGAGGGTGACCTGCGAGAGACGCTGAAGACTGATCTGCCTAAGGAAGTTGACTTTTTATTACTTGACAGTAAGTTTGTCACCCTTCCTGCTAACCCATAACCCTAAGTAACCCTACGCTGGGCTGCTAGCCTGTACCGTGCATGGCACGAATCAACCCGCTAACGACTTGACAAGTCTGGTCGCGGCTTGCGATGCCTACACTCGCTCTTGTGAAGCCACATCTCAAATCCGGCGCCTTGATCGTCATTGACAACATAATTTCTGGTCAAGCTGGTTACAAGGATCTGATTGAGCATCTAGATGATCCTGATAATGGGTTCAGGACAACTACGGCTCCATATAATGGTGGTTTGCGAGTAGCTGTATACCTGGGTCATTAGATAAGTCCAGGCTTGTGGAAGAGGGCAATTGAGGTGATGGGCAAGAGCAATCACATGGCAACAAATATGCCAAGATATCAATAGCAAGAGGAGCTCCCCGGAGCTCCTGGACACAATAGGACAGCCTCCTTTAGACGTCTACACCCCAAATTTCGCGTCATGTTCAGAGAGCCTGGACCATTCCCTCATGCTTGACAACCCAAGTTCCGTCTTTCGGAAACCCAGGTGCGTGCCCTTCGGAGCCTGCCCATCCAGCTGCCATGTACCCGATCGCTAAAAGAAACCCCCCGTTTCCAGGGAAATAGGGTGGTGGAGATGGACCTATCGCAACCTCGTCAGTCGATCGTGTAGTCCCGCGGTACCCAAACTACACTCGTTCAGCATGTTGCATTACTCACTTGGACCAGACCTATGAGCAAAACCTTGATCGCCAAATGTCCAGTGATCAAAATTAGTCAGGTGATATATGGCTCGCTCTGGGTTCCCGATACGCGCTGAGTTGATGGCCAATACGTTTCGGCCCCAGCCTCGAATTTGGGCGTCACCCCACACATCCCATACCTTGTCTGCAGTTCTAACACCGACCTCTGGGCTCACCTTATGCATCTATGGTCAGCTAATAGAGCAAACTGGGAGTCTACTCTCAACATCCGTAGGACTTACCAGTGGGGTATCGGGTACCATGCCTTGTAACATAATAACGCTTCTAGGATCTTTGTTGAGCTGAGGGTTATCCCACCAGGATGCATTTACGCCACCGCCAACCCAAGGAGCGAACAGTCCATCATACTCAGGAGGGGATGCCATGTTCTCTGCCACTCTAGACCACTCTGGGGGGCAATCTTGTTCAAGTCTCTTTTTCCAGTTGCAGGCTGCATTGAGAGCCCATTGCCAGTATGCAAGCTCATAGGCCAAGTTGGATATCTCTGTAGGGGACGAATTCTCCGTGACACCCTGTATAGGTGGTCCTAAATCATATTTGCCGCTCGAGTTGTTGAACCAAGCGAAAGATGCCATGTACTGAGCAGTTGACGTGATGACACGATCCCATCCTTGGAGAGTCTCCTTGCTTTGATTGGCTTTGTAGGCTAGTTCCGCAAGATAGATAGGGTGTGGTTGCTGCCATTGAAGATACGCCCTGGTCTCTCCAGGAGCGATGCCCTTGGTAACAAGCTCCGTCATCTTGGGCCATCTGATTGTCCACTCTGATCAGTCGATGAAAATCTCACAGTCGGACGGACCTGTAAATCTTACCTTGCGCCCTCCCATCCCATGCGACGAGCTCTTGCCTCAGCGCTAGGCAGGAGATCCTCATAGACAGCAGGGAATATCCGATCAAAGTATTTTGATCTTCCCCAAGTCGCCCAATGAGCACAATGCCAAACGACCATCTCCATGTGAAACTTGCCCCACCACCCGTTATACACCAGACCACTTTCCTGTGGTGGCTGGCCAGTGGCTGCGCTGTTGACTCTCATCGCATATTGTGAGAGTATGATGCGTCGCTGGAGCTCCGTCGCGTTTGGGTTTGACGACTGGGTGAGATCTACAAACCCCCCTTCTTGCCAGTACCTCTGCCAACCAAGACTGTTCCGCCGGCGAATTGAGGAGGGCAGTGACGGTCTTTGAAGCTTGAGACTATACTGGGCAGTGAAGGACAACCTATTCGCTCTGGTGATATTTTTTCCGGAGGCCGCTGGGAACAGTCCATAGCGATGCGCATTAGTCGTGTTAGAATCCTGTGTCCCAATTCTTCTCAAAGTCAATGGTGATTCCTTGGGCCACCGCAAGTTCTGGTAGTATGACGTTTCTTGCATTGTGTGATGGATATGAGCTGTGTCATCAGAATCAATTTCGGGTTTAACAATAGAAGTCGTGTGATTGTCCGGGAATTGGTAGCTTCCCATGAACACCTCAAAGTCTGATGTCTTCTCAACCTTGTGGATTGAAGGAAATGGAAAGTCAAATTCGACTCGAAGGGTTCCTTCAAAGATCAACACGGACTCGATGTCGAAAGTAACGGAGTCGGTGTCAAAATCTCCTTGAGTAACCACTTTCACATTCTCACCATCGACCTTGAACGACGAAGTGGTAACACCGTTCCAGAGGTCAAGGACTTGGCGGGGTTCCGTGATCGATGATAGCGTCTTGTTCTTATAACTCAAGCTGATGCGGCCAAGATTGATGCGGTTGGGGTTGGCACTTAACCATTTCGAAATTTCTGGCAGCTTCGGATCTTCAAGGTCGTAGATAACTTCTCTTCCATGCGTAACTACAGGGACGCCCGCATATTCTTCCAGCTTTTCTCTAGTGAAATACAACGCGGTATGAGTATCCGAAAGACGCGAGTGTGCAATTGACTGAAGAGCCAAGTTCTTACCCGTTTTGTGGCAACGCATCCTTATGCCATCCCCAGCTGGAAAGTGTGTTGAAAGGTACCAACGATTGCGTGCCCGTGATGTCAAAATTGAACGCAAAATCTCCATTTCCAACTTGAAGAGGTGTTGTGGTATTGTCTATGACTTTAGGCACCTCTGTTCGCAATATATTGAAAGACTTTACGATAGCTTTTCTGTTAACATATCAGTAATGCCAAATATTAGAACATGATGTCTTTTCCTAGACCAATAGCCTTCTTTCCTCATACCTGTCAATAGCTGCAGCTGCCACGGCCGGCGCTAGCAAAAAGAATTGCACGAACATCTCACGTGGTCGTGATACCAATTACTGGCTACAACTCATGTGATGATTGACGAGATAGGCATCACTTTGAATACTTCTGAGGATTCGACGGATAAGTATGCAGATATATCCGTGATACCGCGAGGTAGAGACGGGTAACTCGGTTCAAGTCTACCCCGAACGCGGGGTTACGGCCCCTGCTGCCGTTCCCAATTTCCAGAGGTCCCACGGCGGATCACTCAAGAGACGAATGGGATTAGTTCCGTCGTTTCTGTGGTGCAACCCACGCTCTAATGGAGCAGATAAACTTTAATGAGCATGTGAGAGTGCTATTAAATATGAAAAGCTTGAGCTAGAAGATCTAGAGACTGGCCGAAACTGGGATTGTCTTGTCAATGAACAGTCTTACGGTCTCGTTGAATTCCTCCTCTCTTTCCCACAACGGCACATGGCCACAGTCTTTCCAAGCAATATACTCCGGCCCGTCTCCCAACGCAGCCCTGATTAGCTCAAAATGCGGAAAGGTAATGGTTTCGTCAAAAGTCCCGTGCATCACCAAGATTCGGGTTCTGCCTACTTCGTCCCCTATTCTTGCGAGATCTGCGTCGCTCTTGTGATGCCATCCAGCGGCGATAGCCTGTAGCACGACGCCTTTCCTCCGAGAAAAGTCGGTATCTTCGCAACGCTCTGCGAGTTCCTCTGCCACAAAGCGGTCAAGGTTGGTGGGAAATGTTTTTTCTGGGTCCAGGGATCCGGTGTCCGGCGCATTGAGATAGCTCATAGTGAACAGCCTACTGGCCTTGTTCTTGAGCTCTACGTCAACTGCTGTGGGAAGAAACATGGCGACTCGTTGTTTCATATGCTCGAACGTGTGAACGGTTCGAATCAGGCGGGGAGCCGTAGAGATAAGAATCAGCGATTGCAATCGTTGAGGTATCAGAAGCGCAAGTTCTTGCGCAATCATGCCACCTAAGCTGATTCCTGCAATGTTCAAGTCTCGCGGGTAGTACTGAGAATCAGTATCGAGCCACCCAATGTGCCTCAGCAGTTCGACGAGGTCCTTGGCCATATCCAAGGTGCTGTACCTGCAAGTTGGCTTGGCCGACTTGCTCACCCCGCGATTATCAAAGACAAGGGAGCTGTACTCCTCGCCACGCAGATGCCCAAAGTGCCGATTCTGACGCTTCCACAGGTTCCGGCTACCACCGAGGCCCATGATCCAGACAATTTTCTTTGGTCCTCGGCCGTGAACTTCGTACCACATAGGGAATGGCCCACCTGGACGAGACTCGGCCACCGTCGCGAAGCCCGATAGCCTGGGTTTAAGATCCCATTGCGTCGTCTTGTATGCGGGATGGCGAAGAATCTCTTCTGCTGAGAGGCTCGTCGCTTTGGTTGACATCTTGTCATCAATCGATGAAGCCTAAATTGCGGGCAAAAAGAGTTTGGCGATCGTTGGCTTCAATGTTACGTCAAGCAGTCAAATTTGACGGTCTGCTATATCCCGGGATAAATTTGGCTCGCCTGGGGTGTTTGCAATATCCAGGCTGTTCGTGTCCAACGTCAGCGATAGTTTATCATCGGCATGGTCGGTAATGCTCAGTTGCTGAAGGTTCGCGGTCGCTCGGATCTGTGTTTCACAAGAACCGAGGCCGATGCTACAATGAGTGGCACACAAGCGCCGATGCTCCAGCCCTTCGGACGACCACAGGAACAACTGAGAGCTTCGAACACTGATGCTCTGGGCTTCAATCGGCACGCTGAGAGCTGTCATGTTCAATCACTGAGGTTGCCCAATAATGGACAAAGTCAAGAAACAACGGTAGACCTGAAGGCTTGAAGATTGAAGGCGCCCCGAACCAGTATGCCTTATAGCGGAGGCTTAATGCTGAGATGGCGCTGCTATGGGCTTCAATAACACCCTTCGGCATCCCCAGTGCGACATTCAATCAAGTCTTTGAAATCGGACGTTCCTTTATGCTCTCCGCCCACCTCTGTCCCTAACAGTCTTGATACTTGCCAGATATTGTCAAGTTCTCTCAATCGAAAGTCTCATATTTTGATTGAGACTACCAGAGCATGATAAACTAACATGCACCCAATTGGTTAATCGCTGAAGACCCGTTCACAGCGCGTCTCGTGTCAGCGTCCTTACGTTTGACCTGGCCCGAACATTGACGCCTTTTATTGAGCGCGCTACCCCTACAGTGGGGGCTCATAAGTGTCCATACAGCACACAGTATAGGGCAGTACCAGTAATCTTCAACAGCACACAAAAACGTCAATATAACTCTAATTTAAAAAGAAAAAAACATCAAAATATATATTAACTATTAAGTAACTATAGTTATATATAATTTATACGTAATTTGTATATAAAATCATAGAGTTATTAAAAAAAATTTAAAATATATTTTAAAAAATCTTGTTTATTGTGGGCTATAACGCTTAAGTAATATAAATCGCACGATTTTCCTTAGTGTATTTTCTCACTTTTTTATTATTATTAATTTTTTAATAACCTATGTATTTATAAAATGTTTTAAAATTATTTTAAAAATATTTTTATATAGTTTATATAGTTAAATATTTTTGAGAATTTTCTGGAGTTATATTGTTACCTAGGTGCTTAAGATACAAGTGGTTCTGTATTAGTGGAATTAGTGGGCTTAAGGTGACGCACTGGGAGGGTGTATTGAGACTTTTGAGCCCTCACTGTACTCACTTCCAACTGTGGGAGCCCGCGTTGGCCTCGCTAAGAGCCTGGGACCGCCCCAATATTACAGTGACTCGAGGGCTTGCAGATTCACGTCGCGGCTAACAGACCCTTGGTCTTTTCTTGTCCTCCGCAAGGTGAGTTGCCATCTCTCAAGACCGAGCACGTGTCTCAGAGGTCCAGTTGTTCATTCAGTCAAAGGATAGCTGCCTCCATTGGCGCCTACAAAGCGACGCGTTTCGCTAAGCGCCCTATCTGGGGTGACAAAGCAAAGGCAGTTGGGGTTGACTCGCTACGACTCAGACAGCCAAGCCCTGTCGGCTCCAGTGTTGGACGGCCTGCCAGACGCGCGACAGGGTTTGGAGAACGAATGATTGGATGTGACTTTCCAGCGCTGCAACAGTAATAGCGCCAAAGCTCAAAGGACTGGTGTTACTATTTGCGTTGAACAACATCGTGAGGTCGGACTCATTGGATGTTGTTTCCGCTCAAGAGCAATGGCCTTTGTCCATTTCCAGCTTATAAAGATGGTTTTCCTGGTGTCCTCGATGCTGTCCTGAATCACCCTCACTACGACTTTTCATTCCTCTCTCCATCACTTGGCGCCTGTGTTTCCTCGGAGTTTTCTAAATACTTTGCACTGCCGGTCGGTCTCGCATTTTTTTGCATTATTTTCCCATTACAGCATCGTTCGATAGTCCTCCCGTGGCCATCTTCCAACTTTGCGTCTACCTCTCCATTTTTGAGTGCTTTTCGCAGTCGCATACTTCCGAACCATTTCCGACCTACCCGTTCTTTCACCTCACAACGACAATGGGAAAGTTCGGAAACGCTATTAAGGCCGGCCAGAGTGCCGTTGAGCTCGGCCGCAACGTGCAGGGGCTCGCCGGCGCCGCCTCCGAGTTTCGTAACGCGGACAAGGCAGAAATGGGTCGCCAAGCCGGACGCGGTGTCTTCAACGAGGGCGCTGCAACGGGCAAGACCATGGGGAAAACATGGCTCAAGACATTCGAAGTCGTACCCCGCCTAGTCTGCCGCGGTCTCCAATTTCTCTTCGCTCTCATCGCCTGCGGCTTCTACGGCAACCGTGTCGACGCTGACCGCAAGGCAAACGATGGCTTCTCGCCAGAGTGGATCTTTGCCATCGCCGTGGCAGGAGCTTCAGCTATTACGGCTGTTCTCTTCGTCGCTGCCACACCGCTCGGCGCTATTCCCTATGTTGGCAGCAGAATCAAGATCTTCAAGACCTACCGTGCTTTCGCTTGGGACTTCGTCCTTTTCGTTTCTTGGATCGTGGTGTTTGGCATTTTTGCAGCAATTTTCCTTCACAGGGAGAGCGACAACTCATACAAAGGCAGCAAGACGAGCTTGATGAAGGTTGCAGTCTGGATCGACTTGGTAAATGCAATCTTTTGGTTCGTTTCTGGTGTTTACGGCTGCATCAAGACATTTTTAGGAGACAAGACGGACGCAATGACCGACAAAATTGGCCAGAAGTTGTTTGAGAAGAAGAAAGCTAAGGAAGTGCCAGCCAAGGAGGCGGGCTACGCTGAGAGCGTATAATGCTCCAGCTACACACCACATTATTGTTTACTAGCAGCTCGACCTTTCAATCACCGTACTAGATTTGGCTGTAGAAAGAGACTTAATAAGATATCACTCAACGTACACAAGAGTAATACTCAACCAGTCTTGTACAGGGCCATTCGCTGACTCGTTGCGTTCTCCTCATGCCCAGCTCTCGTAGCAGATCTTCCTAGTTGACTACTGCTAACAAAAAGCCGTCCAAAACAGTGTGGCCCTCATGGACCGTATGCGCAGTTGATATCATAGGAAGAACCGTTGCCGTGACTCTCTTATCCTTTCCAACGTGAGTCAACAACGACTCTTTCCCCTCCTTCGCCTTATCTTGACCCAAGATGTTCCACACCACATTATCGACGTAGATGCATCCCTTCGGTCTGGTCAGTTTCACCGCCCAGTCAAAGTACTTCTCCTGCTCGCCCCATGATGCATCGCAAAACACCATGTCAAACTTGCGGCCTTCTGCGGCTAGCTTGGGTAAGACGTCCAGAGCGGAGCCGAGTATGATCTCGACATCGAGCCCCGATACATTATCAAGGGCTACATCGCGATGCTTTGGGTTGATCTCAATGCTAGTGACTTTCGCTCCCGCTTCGGCGAGCCAGATGGTTGAATACCCGCCGAGGGTACCAATCTCGAGAACTTCCTTGGCGCCTATGAGCTTACACTGAATGGCGAGAAATTGGCCTTGGAGCGGGGCAACAGTAATCTCTGGTAAGTTGTGCCTCTGGGAGTTCGCGATCGCGTTGTCTAATTTCTCGTTTGGTGGGAGAAGATTCGCTCGAGCGACGCTTTCGATGGCATCCACAGCCGCGACGGTGTTTTGCTCTTCGGTGGACATCTTGGTGGTGTTTCAGGTGATGGTTTTTAGTTATGATTGTTTGTTGGTGTTCTGTTGTCTCCCAAATGACCCCTACCCCTCATCACCGTCGCTGGCGAGACCGGACTTAAATACTTGCACACGTTGGTACGCCGGGCTTACCTTCACTAGCAGATGGTGTAGATGAAGCACTTAACTACGTCAAGTAGAGTAGGTGAAGCTCGGAAACCGAGCAGAATTGCTTCGGCGAATTGCACTGCTTGGGGACTTTTGCTCTTGCACACGCCATCGAGTTTGGAGTACATACCTACAGCATGGCTTCCATCGGGTTCGGTCCGATCGGCCGCCGAGATCTAGACGAATTTACGAAGAACCCCTCTCGCGTTCAACGATGCATACGAGACCGCCGAGATATGCCACCGACTTGCGAACAATCAGGAAGTTTATCACAGACCGCGATTAGACAATTCATGCATCTGATGCAAGGAATTATCTAGTATTACACAGCGGCCCGGACCAAGTATAAAAGCCGGTTCCGGTCCGTCCACCGTGGGGCCGCAGAAGTAGCTCAGGCCGAAACGCGACGAGCGGGGCCGAAGCGGTGTGGGGGAGGAGTTTTGCTGGGCGAGCCAAAGTTTTCTGAGGATGCAACACCGCATCGCACACAAGTGTGGTGGTAACTTTTCGTGGCGATGGTACAAGGAACTAGTCCATGCTCACATACCTTAATGCAAGACGTTATTGGAATATTACCTCGCTTTCGGTGAGTCTGTCCAACACAGCACGAGCTGAAGACTGGTGACAACATGCACGCGCCCGGCCCCGCTGATACTGCCATGTCGTTTCCCCTACCGTCTTCACGCAGTACTTTCGCACACGAAGCAGGTAGAGAACAAAATCTATACGATTCCTTCGATGTCTCAGAGAGTTAGCTAGATTACAACTGAAAAAAAAGGGTAGTAGAAGGGTCTACTGGATCCAAGATATACTACCAAGCACCGGTCAAGCTTTGCGCAACTAAGCTTCAGTTCAACGGCAGAAAGAAAGAGAGGCAATCGTTTCGCCCAGAGGCCAAATCGGGCACGGTACTGAGATTTCTTTTGCACAGCGGAGTCAGTAACATTGTTGCACGGTAGGATAAAGCCTCCCTGAGGGTCAATCCTGAAGGTATTCCATCCTACGAGGGGTGTCTAGTAAGGTATCCCAAAAGGGGGGGGCAAGACCTATGTCGAGTCTGCGAAAGAATCGTGTGAACATCTTGTCCCAGAGGCCTCCAGTAACACGTGTAGTGCCGAGATCTGGTAGAATCCGTGTTGATGATCGTAAGTGCGGCATCTTCGTCCTTTGCGGTTATGGTCAACAGCCTTCAGCCAGCAACGAACAGACTATGTCTAAACGTCTAGTACACGGGGATAATCTCGCGAAAGATTGCAAGAGATCTTAGATACAGCGATGAGGCTAACGGGCCGCATTTGGTGCCCGCGGATTGCGTCCGGCGCTAGAAGTCTTGAGGTCCACTTCGTGTGAGAATAAGGAGGGTCGCTCAATGCATTTATCTCCACCAGAAACCTCATCGCAAACCAGGCACAATATCTGAGCAGTGCCACCAATCACCTCGCCGGACTTGTTCAACACTACTCCTCTCAGTTTCTCAAATCCCTGCGCGTTCTTGTGCGTTGTGCAAACTATTCTTAGCCTTGTTCCAGTTGGGCCGAAGAATTACTTGGGCGATATCACTGGCCGAAGGGAAATTCGCGCCGGAAGTTATGGGCATGGTCTAGGCCAATCGATAATCTGTTCAACCTCGCTAGCAATGCGCTCGAATTTGACAGACGTTTTGAATCCATTAAATTAACAGTGGATTACTACATGTAGGTACGGGTCCTGTATTGCCTCTCGTTGCCTCTCGTTCACTCATCAACAATTACTGTGCCAGTCGTGTTGTCTAGACCACATTATCCCCGCGCTTCGTCTCAACCTCCATTCCAAACTCCTTCTGCACTCTGATCGCCCCGAAGCCACTCTTTGTCACGATCCTCTTTTGGCTGTGATCATCTGGCAAGCTGTCGCTGCTAATATCGCCCAGATCTCTGCCGTAAACCCTTGTCTCAACCCCAGATCGACTAGCTTGGCTGATGTTCTTCCTCGTGGGATCCCTCTCCCCGAGCTCGAGATAACTGTTCTTGACAGCGGCTGAAGCGGCTGGATCTTTAGATGACTTGTTTTTCGAGCCGGTGAAGGACGTGAGGCGGGCGAGGGCACGTTCGAGTAGAGGTCGACATGCGGGGAGGTTGGCGACGAGCATTCCGATGCCAACTTCTGCCTGTGCCCAAGCGAGGATAATGCTGAGGCCTTGCAGGAATTTTTCGGCATCGTTGAGTAGGAGGAGGTAGTTGAGTCGAACAATCGGAGCCACCGATGCACTAGGAATTGTTAGCAAGGACAAGACGTTCTAGCGCCGAGCAATACTTACAAGAAACCCAAGCCCAGAAGACCGATAACAGACGCCTTGACCTTGTTCGCCATCTGCAGTCTCCAGATGAGAGCGAAAGGCATGATTGCGAATATCCAGTCAGTTGAGATTGATACTGCGGCAACCAAGAAGGACAGCGCGGTCTGGATTTCTCGAGGTCTACATTCGCCCGGCATGCTTTGATGCCAGTTTTTCCTAGTACGTCTCGTCAGCACGTGCAGAACCACACTTTAACAGGCTGAAGACTCACTCAACCGGCGAACATTGAAAGAACAAATACATGCCAGTACCTCCTGTGCAGACTGTGACTAGTGCGAGGCAGGTGTAGATGACGATTTGGACCCAACGTTGGCCATTACCGATGCGCAGCAACGTGAAACCAAGGGACCACTTGAGAGTGACCAAGGTAAAACACCAGAACTCCTGGAAAACATAAAACCACTAGAGATCCGTTAGTTGACTGCATACATTGGATGGTATCACCCTTCAGGTGGAGCATAATTTACGAAGTATGAGTTGGCAACTTGTTCTGCAGAAAGGGTGCTATCCAGTTGCCCAACTCCGCTCCAGGCCATACCTATTAAACCGATTTGCGACACTGCCCAAACCGGCTTCGATATGTTAGCCGAAAACAACTCAAAATCACTCCGCATTGTGCGCATTATCAGAACATACAATAGTAGCAACCATGGCCCAGTCATCCGGTCCCCATGCTTTCCTCTGCGCCCGAATCCAAAACCGCAAGATCATGGTGATGATGTCGAACGGCAGTGGCACCAGGACCGCAGCGGCCATATCCTTCGACGTAGCCGCGCCCATCTTGTCGAATTTGCGGGTTCGAGATCACTGAAGAACCGGCTTCGTGCTCCACGGGTTCGTTTCGAGGTGAGAGAAAGAGTGCCACAAATCGAACAGCGAAAAGAATAGTGAAGACCCGAACGACCCAGAAAACTTATAAGGGAATGCAAAGAACATAGAAAAAGCAAGCACGGATCTGACAATTACTTAATAGCGGCCCAAATTCTTCTGGCAACCGAAGTTCGCATAGGATCCACCGACCCCAGCCCCGGGATCACTGCCGTTGCGGCACTGTGGTCCTCCTTGCCACAAAGGGGCGCTGGGATGAACATGGTAAGAGAATTCAACCCCCTTGCGAAGCTCAGACTGTCCAATTTCGAAATGATCCCGTCGGCAAAATGCTCGTGTTTCCTGTCCACTAATCAGGAACGATGATGTGCTTGACAGTTGCCTCGCCCTGACATGAGATGCAGGAACACAACGGAGGCGGAGTTGGTTCCGAGATGGTTATTGGGTTCTACTTGTGAATTTCTTCGATTGTAACATCGACTTACCAGAATGTCTTTTCGCCGAGAAGAATGGAGAGGTTACGTTCGGCCTCTTTGGCGTTCTTCCTCCTGAAGTTTGCCCAGTACGCAACGTTTAGGCGTGCCTGCCCAGCTTCCCAGCTTCCAAGGATTCTGTATGTAACATGTGATCACTGCTATCGTTCGAAGCTATCGACGCTCACTCAAAGTCAAAAACGTGGATAGCATTGGCCGGCATTCTGCTCAGCGTTACAGTCGATGCTTCGCGAGATCGGTGGTTTCCAACAACGACGAATATACACCATCCATGCATCGTCGCACTCATGCCACTGTCCCGAAACGTATGGCCCCCATCCTAAAG